AAAAAAAAAAAAAAAGAGAGAGAGAGAGAAGCAGATTAGCAGTTAGTAGGGCTGAGGGAGCATGACTTCTAATGGGTACAGGGTTTCCTTCTGGTGTGATAAAAATGTTCTGGAACCCCATAGAGGTGATGGTTGCACAACATTGTGAATGTACTAAATGCCACTGAATTGTTTATTTAAACTTGGTTAATGATATGTGAATTCCACCTAAACAATATTATATAGACATTTGATATGACAGTTCTAAAGCCCTTTATTATTTTATAAGTCAGACCCAGGCCTTTGAAATCCAAAGCCCAGGTTTTTCTCACAAACTCACTCTGCAGAGGGAAGGGGTATCGGTGTGGTGGGAAAAAATAAAATCTGTGGCCGGGTGCAGTGGCTCACGTCTCCTGGGTTCAAGCAGTTTCCTGCCTCAGCCTCCCGAGTAGCTGGGATTACAGGCACGCCATGCCCAGCTAATTTTTGTATTTTTAGTAGAGACTGGATTTCAACATGTCAGGCTGGTCTCGAACTCCTGACCTCAGGTGATTCACCCACCTTGGCTTCCCGAAGCATTGGGATTACAGGCATGAGCCACTGCGCCCAACCAACATATTTTTTTAGAGATGAGGTCTCTCTATGTTGCCCAGGCTGCACTTCCTTCTTGTCTCCCTTATCCCAGCGTCTGACTGAACTGACAGCTTTGCTTTCCCCCAACCAGCCCGTGAAGCTGGAGTTAGCACCAAGTGGTAGGTATGAGGGTCAAGATGCTTAGACCTGAAAATTCAGAAACCATCCCTTTGGTTCACAGTTGCTAAGGAAAAATGAGTAACATTTTTTTCCAGTGATCCCATGCTGACAAATTGTCAGGGTCATTCCCGCGACAGACAGATTCAAGGCCAGCCCCAGACTCAGCCAAGAGCAAAGCAAACACTCCAGCCTTATCTCAGGGCGAGGGTGTGGAGACTGATTATAAGCAGGGGAGGGCTGGTCATCTCAGTTCTCTTCTCACCTCGACTGCAAGATGAAACTCCTTGTGCTGGCCGTGCTGCTCGCAGGTAGGCAAGTCTTCCTGGCTCTGCCCGCCTATCTCCCACGTGAGCTGAGATCTCACTCCTCCAGAATGGGGGCCACAGACCACAGAAGACAGGGCTGGCCAGGCCCGCAGTCTCAATTCGAGGTTCCCAGTGGGGCTTAAGAGCTCCTCTATTAGGGCTCCCTCAAGCCTGGCACCTTTTCGACCTGCAAGTCTGGACTCAGACAGCCTGAGCTAAGAAAGCCTGCCTGTATTTTCTTTTTTCCAGACAGGGTCTTGTAGTTCAATAGCGGAATCATAGCTCACTGCAGCTTCCAACTCATGGGCTCAAGCAATCCTCCGACCTTAGTCAACTAAGTAATTGGACCAATCTCCATTTTATATTTTATTTTATTACCTTATTTTATTTTTGAGACAGGGGCTCTGTCGCCCAGGCTGGAGTACAGTGGCGTGATCTCAGATCACTACAACCTCCGCCTCCTGGGTTCATGATTCTCTTGCCTCAGCCTCTCAAGTAGCTGGCACTTGTAGCTCTCAAGTAGCTGGCATGCGCCACCACACCTGGCTAATGTTTTTGTATTTTTTTGGTAGAGATGGGGTTTCACCATGTTGGCCAGGCTGGGTAACCTCCCTTTTAGATTTGCCTCATCCGGCTCTATTTTCCCCCTTTCTAACGCAGTATCCAGTTTCCTGACTTACCACATTTATTATTCATTGTTTTTCTCTCCCACTAGGTTGTAAGCTCTATGAGGTTAGAGATTTATTATTATTATATCTGTCCACTGCTATATCTCTAACTCCTAGGACAGAGCTTGGCATGTAGTAAGTGCTCAATAAATAGTCACTGGATAGGCCAGGCGCAGTAGCTCACGCCTGTAATCCTAGCACTTTGGAAGGCTGAGGCAGGTGAATCACCCGAGGTTGGGAGTTCAAGACCAGCCTGACCAACATGGAGAAACCCCATCTCTACTAAAAATACAAAATTAACCAGGTGTGGTGGTGCATGCCTGTAATCCCAGCTGAGCCAGGCTGAGGCAGGAGAGTTACTTGAACCTGGAAGGTGAAGATTGCGGTGAGCCGGAATCGCACCACTGCCCTCCAGCCTGGGCAATAAGAGGGAAACTCCGTCTTAAAAAAAACAACAAACAAACAAAAAAAACATACAATGTGATTGGGGTGGGGCGGGAGGGATGAAAATATACGTCTAAAAAAAAAAAAAAAAAAAAATTAACTGGATAAACAATGCAGATCGTTTTAAACTCTCTGGCCTGGCTTGGTGGCACATGCCTGTAATCCTAGCTCACTTTGGGAGTCTGAGTCAGAAAGATCACTTGAGCCTAGGAACCCAGAGACCAACCTAGAATATATGGGAAAATCCTGTATCTACAGACAATACAAAAAATTACTGAGGTGTGGTGGCTGGTGCCTGTAGTCCCAGCTACTTGGGAGGCTGAGGTGGGAGGATGGGTTGTTGAACTCCCACCGGGAGGTTGCAGTGAGCCACAATCATACCATTGCACTCCAGCCTGGGCGACAGAGTGAGATCCAAAAAGAAGAGTGTGTGTGTGTGTGTGTGTATGTGTGTGTGTGTGTATACATATACATATACATATACACATATAAACTTTATATATGTAAAGTTTTCATTAAAAAAAAAAAACCCTCTGCCAGGCGTGGTGGCTCACACCTGTAATCCCAGCACTTTGGGAGGCTGAGGCGGGTAGATCAGGAGGTCAAGAGATAGAGATCATCCTGTCCAACTTGGTGAAACCCCATCTCTAGTAAAAAACACAAAAATTAGCTGGGCATGGTGGCACACGTCTGTAGTCCCAGCTACTCAGGAGGCTGAGGCAGGAGAATTGCTTGAACTCGGAGGGCGGAGGTTGCAGTGAGCTGAGATCATGCCACTGCGCTCCAGCCTGGGCGACACAGGGAGACTCCGTTTCAAAAACAAACAAACAAACAAACAAATAACGCCTCTACCCACTTTCACTTTGCCAGGTTCCTGAGTCCAACGGTCTTCCGAGAAGGCAGCTGGCAGGGATCAGGGAGGTAGTGTGGGGCCGAGGGACAGGCAGGCAGTGTTTCCCGGGGGTGCTGGCAGACGGATTTGAACTCTGGCCGTGTCTTCTTGCAGTGGCCGCCGCCGAGAGCGGCGTCAGCCCTCGGGCCTTGTGGCAGTTCCGCAAAATGATCAAGTGCACGATCCCGGGGAGTGACCCCCTGTTGGAATACAACAACTACGGCTGCTACTGTGGCTTGGGGGGCTCAGGCACCCCTGTGGACGAATTGGACACGTGAGTGATCACCTGGAGGGAAACTGGAGTGGCTGCTGGGGGCAGGGAGGGCACATGCCAAGGATCTCACAAGGCATACAAAGGGGGCTTGCATATCTGCTAAGGATAACATATTTTCACCTCCTGTCATATAAAGCAAGGTGTTCCAAGAGAACCCTGCAACGAATGCTCCTCGTTAGAGATGGAAGCAATGTCCGACGTACAAAACAGTGGCCGACGCTGCCCTCCAGTGGCCGAATATGGCACCAGTAAACGTCACAGCGACAATCCACGTGTCATTTTTTTCTAGCAGTGGTTAAAGTGTCACTGCACCTTCCGAATACAGGATTTTACTGTATTCTTGCAACCATGTTAAAAATCGCTTTCAGGGGCCGGGCGCGGTGGCTCACGCCTGTAATCTCAGCACTTTGGGAGGCCGAGGCGGGTGAATCACGAGGTCAAGAGATTGAGACCATCCTGGCCAACACAGTGAAACCCCGTCTCTACTAAGAATACCAAATAGTTAGCCAGGCGTGGTGGCACGTGCCTGTGGTCCCAGCTACTCGGGAGGCTGAGGCGGAAGAATCGCTTGAGCCCGGGAGTTGGAGGTTGCAGTGAGCCAAGATCCTGCCACTGCATTCCAGCCTAGGCAACAGTGGGAGACTCTGTCTCAAAAAAA